CACGTGAACCAGGGCTTAGTCCTGACCTGGGCACCATGTGCTCCTGGTCACCACCTCCCACCTGGTCACCAGCTGATGGCTGGCTATACTGACCCTGGCCTCATTGGCTATACTCTCTGTCCCTGAGCAGAGGAGACAAAGTGACTGAGCTGGACTGTTGAGCATTATGGTGGAGCTTTGGAGCTGAGCTGCCCGAGTTCCCGCCCAGCTWGGCATCGCCGGCTCTCTGATTTCAGTCTCTTCATCCCTTCCTGTTTCCTCATCTAAAAGTGGGGATCTTGCCACTGCTCACCGCAGGGCTTTTGTGAAAATTGGGGAACTATGAACAGAGCAGTCAGCTGTGTATCCAGGAGCATTGCTGGGGGTCCATCCTCACCCTCTCAGGAGGGGATCCCTGGGCATAGGGAAGGCTTCTCTTTGCCCACAGGGCATCTCAGTGAGGGGAGCCAGGGCAACAGGCAGCAGATGTTCAGCAGCTGGATGAAGGAATGGCCACGGAGGGCATCATTGATAACTATATGGTAAAAGTGAGCCTGTCTTCAGGTTCAGATGAAAGTTTACTCTTCCAAAAATGGAACCACAGCTGTTCCTGTTGTGTGCTTTGGATGGTTGCTCTCCAGCTGCATCCCTAACCTGGCCTGTTAYTCTGCTCTTCATCTTCCAGGACCACCGTTCACCCACCAGAGGACACCACARAAGATGGTATATTATGGGAAACCTTCTTGTGAGAACAACTACGAGAATTATATTGARATAATAAAATACGTGTTCAGCTCTTATAAGAGAGAGTGCCCGCTCATCATCAACACTATGGGCTGGGTGACAGGTAATGAGTGGCACGGGGARCGTGACCAGCCTGAGCAGCACATGGGTGTGGGTGCCGTGGGTGCTCGATGAGCACATGCTGTGCATGTGCAGGCCAGGGTGGTCTAGCTGCCTCCCCAGACCTCAGTGTTTCTTTGTGCTGAAAACATTTTAATAGCTTTTCTTCTAGCTTTTTTGAAATACATGCATGGTACRTTGTCCTTATTAATAGTCACCTGTTGTTCAATGGAAGGTCAGAATTCATTTGTTCTATGGAGGGAACGTGCCTGTTGATGAGCCCTTCCTTGTCCCTTCCTCCCTCTTCTCCTCGGCCTCTTGTCACCACCTTTCCACTGTCAACTTTTTTTCTTTTTGGTATTGGGGATTGAACCCAGAGGCCCTCAACCACTAAGCCGCATACCCAACCTTTTTATTTTTTATTTTGAGACAGGGTCTCACTAAGTTGCTGAGGCTGTCTTTGACCTTGTGATCCTTCTGCCTCAGCATCCTGAGCCACTGGGATTACAGGCGTGCCGTTCTTATTTTTTGAGGAATTTCCATAATTTTTTTTTTTTTTTTTTTTTTTTGTGGTGCTGGGGGTTGAACCCAGGGTCTTGTGCATGGAAGGCCAGCACTCCACCAGCTGAGCCGTATCCCCAGCCCCTGCTGTTATAATTTGCATTCCCACCAACTGTGTGTCAGAGTTCCCTTTTTTCTATATCTTTGCCAGCATTTTTGGCAGGTTTTTGTTTGGGGATTGAACACAGACATGCTCTACCACTGAGCTGCATCCCCAACCCTTTTTATTATTTTTTATTTTGAGACAGGGACTCACTAAGTAGCCCAGGCTGGCCTTGAACTTGAGATCTTCCTGCCTCAGCCTTCCAAGTAGCTGAGTAGCTGGTATTACAGGTGTGTGCCACCTTGCCTCCCTTTTTTGTTGTTTGGATAATAGCTGTTCTGTCAGAAGAGATGTCTCACTGTGGTTTTGGTTTGCGTTTCCCTGACAACTGGTAATGTCATGCATTCTTCCATCTACACCTGTTGGACACTTGGATATCATTTGAGGAGTGTCTAATTATTTTTTTGTTTATTTTCGGGGCTAGTACCAGGGATTGAACTCAGGGGTACTTGGCCACTGAGCCACATCTTCAGCTCTGTTTTGTATTTATTTAGAGACAGGATCTCCCTGGGTTGCTTAGCACCTCACTTTTGCTGAAGCTGGATTTGAACTTGCAATCCTCCTGTCTAAGCCTCCTGACCACTGGGATTAGAGGCGTGTGCCATCATGCCTAGCTTGTTTTGTCGTTGTAGTTGTTTTGTCTTTGTTTTTTGCAGTAGTTGGACTAGACCCTAGACTCATGCTAAGCAGCTGCTGTACCACTGAGCTACACCCCTAGCCCTTTTGCCCATTTTTAGTTTGTTTTGGCTGCACTGGGATTGGACCCAAGGCCTCACACATGCTCGGCAGCCACTCTAAAGCTGCATCCCCAGCCACTTTTTCTTTGCTTGAGCTCCTTATATATCCTAGATAAAAAAATATCCAGTTATCCATCTTTTTGTTTTCTGGGTTTATTTTTGGGGGGGGGGTACTAGTTATCCATCTTCTTGTTTTCTGGGGTTTTTTTGGGGGGGGTAGCTAGGATAGAACTCAGGGGCCCTTTACCACTGARCCCCACCCCTTTTTAGTTTGAGATGGCATCTCACTAAAGGCTGGCCTTGAACTTCCCTTCCTCCTGCCTCAGCCTCCCAGATCACTGGGGTTGCAGGCATACACCATTGTGCTCAGCAGCAAGCTGATGGTCTCTTTGCCTGAGGGTGACTGTCTCTGTTTCTGGTTGGAATGAGGCTCCCCTCTAATCTGCAGCTGTGCTCACATCATCTCCTTCCTCACAGACGAAGGGCTTCTGCTGCTCATTGACCTGATCCGGTTGCTGTCTCCCACCCACGTCATTCAGCTCAGCTCTGCCCGGAGTAAACAGATGGCTAACCTCACCCCGGATTATGTGGATGACATGGATGGCTTGTATACAAAAAGCAAGTCCAAAGTTAGGAACCGTGGCTATGAACTTCCAGAATTTGCAGATAATTTGGAATTTGCTGACGAAGATAAAGAGAGTTCAGTTTTTTTTACTGGACATAAACTTATATGTGTTTATTCAGAATTTTCACCCAGAAAATCTTCAAGGAATAGGTAAGTAAACCATCTGGCTGAAGAGCTGTTTCCTTCGATTGAATGAGGCGTTTTGTTTTCACTTCCTTAGAAGGATAAGGCCACAAAAACTTTTCATATCTGGCCTGAGGGTATGGCTTAGTGGTTGAGCGTTTATCTAGCGTGCATGAGCCTGTGGGGTTCTATCTTCAGCATTACAAAAGCGAAATATTTTCAAATCTATCATAGTTAAGCAGTTACTAAGGAGAATCCTATTTTCTCAATTGAAACATCCATTGATGTCCTCCAGCTCTGTGCCAGTAGCTTTAGCTTAAGGARAATCTTGAAGCTTATGTTTTCTAGCAGGGCTGTATCAAGGCAAGACTGAGGATATAAAGGTGGGGGTGTCTTTGTGGGTGTGGTGCTGGGCTTGAACCCCGGGTCTCATTTGTTCTGGGCAATTGCTGTACCACTGAGCAACRCCCCAGCCCTAGGGAGGGCATGTCTTGGAAGAGCACAGCTCAGCGTGTTGTGTAAAAGCCACCTAGGTGGTGACCACACTTGAGTCTCTGCATGGACAGTGGATATGGAAGAAGTTACTTACATCCTTCTCATTTACCTTTGCAGGGAGTCACATAACAGAATTTTTCGAGAACTGGCAGTGTTAGGTTATCTTAGCCAGCTGCTGCCCCCAGTGCCAAAACCACTCAGTCCTTTACATGGCCTGACACCCTATCAGGTATTTGGGACACGTGGGAGAAATTGTCTGTTTCATTTTTCTGGTGACTTCCTACATGCTGTGCAYCCTTAACTCTTGACTCATTTAAGTTAACCCCTTAACTCTTGGCTCATTTAATCCTCAGAACCACCTGTGATGTAGGTTCTATAATCATCTCTATTTCACAGGTGGARAGAYTAAGGTGTACAGAGATAGGGGACCYAGCAGAAAGTTAGCAAAGCTGGCACTTTACCCCTGCAGCCAGCTTGGTGCTGGGCGTTCACAGCTCCATGCCTGGTACTGGTGTTCTTGTGTTGTTCCTAATCCAGTGTCAGTTCCAACACTTGCATTCGTCAGCTGTGTGTGGCTGTGTGTGGGCAGTGTCAGATCACAGAAGGCTTGTAGGCAGCATTTCTTAAAGGAATGCTCTGTGCTCTGCTTTGTTTTAAGCCTGTGTTAACTCCCGTTCCTGTCCCCATTTTACAGATTGTGAGACCAAGGGACTTTGAGTTAGCTTGCCCACAGTAGCCTAGTACAAGTTTAGGTGGGCCTCAAGCCCAAACATGCCTGGAGAGCCCAGAGTCCACTCTGCTGGGTGGCCTGTCTGCTTTGGAGCAGCTACTCTGTGCCAGGTCCTTTACAGGGCCCCTCACATRGAATGACTGTGGTTACATGGTAGCCTGAGAGGAAAATGCCCTTAGTGTCCCCACTTAATAGCTCCAAAAGCTGCTTAGCCAGGTGGAGGCCCTGCCYAAGGTCACACAGGCAGTGTTGGCAGAGCTGGGTGGGCTTCCAAGTCTTTTCCACTAGACAGGCAGGTGGTTTGATGGGGTTTCTGTTCATGGGGTCATCTATTTGCTTGGAGATGACTCTGTAACTGAACTTGAAACTTACCTGCCAATAGTTTTATCACTTTTTTGTTTTATATTTACTTTTCTTTTGGGGGGTGCAGGTACTAGGGATTGAGCCCGGGGGCACTTTACCACTGAGCCACATCCCCGGCCTTTTTTATTTTTTATTTTGAGACAGGGTCTCCCTAGGTTGCTGAGGCTGGCCTGGAACTTGTAGTCCTCCTGCCTTAGCCTCCCAAAGAGCTAGGATAACAGGTTTACTTTTGAAGTCTAAATAATACATGTAAGAAAATAACTTTTCTACTTTAAAATTTGAAATTACCTAGAAAGTTGCATGTGTTTCATTTACCTTGTGCTCTAGGAATGTGGTCCATCCTACTTCATCTACTGTGTTTAGGTTAGGAAGCGTATAGAGCCTGTCTGGGGATTGCTTCTCACTTTCTTACATCAGAACACTCAGTGGATAGATCTTACTTATACTTGGCTGGAAGTCTCCCTCTGCTTTAACTGATTTAGGACATCTTCAAGTTTGAATTTATTTGTAYCTGTAGATAGGAAAGTGCTGGGGATTCAGTTTAGATTTGTAGCAGGTGTGCTGGTGCGCACAAGCACTGTGTGTATGTTAGGGTCTTTATTAAAGCGTGCAGCCATGGCCAAGTACTGGCTAGTGCTTCATTTGTTATTTTGGTGGGAGTGGGCAGTTTGGCAGATGTAGATGGCAAGTCAGCTTGTGAAAATTAAAAATAGTTTTTTGAAATAAAAATTAATAGAAGGGTTCACATTTATTTTCCAGGTCCCTTTCAATGCAGTTGCCCTCCGGATTACTCATGCTGATGTCGCCCCCACTCATATACTGTATGCTGTGAATGCCAGCTGGGTTGGACTTTGCAAGATCCTGGATGATGTCAGAGGCTACACAAGGGGGCCCATCCTGCTGGCACAGACTCCCATCTGTGACTGTTTGGGGTTTGGTGAGTTCAGAGTAAAGCTTGTCCCTAACCTTGCTATAAAGGTCCTACTTCAGCCATAGATGATTGGTCTTGACATTGTAGCTGTCTCTCAGCTAAAGACGTCTGAAAAAACATTGCATTTTTTTTTCCTTCTCCTCGCAGCTCCTCTGTGTCTAGAATTCCCACTGGCCTTGACCTGGCCCTCTCCCTGGACACCTTTCCCAAGGCCATCCCATCTACTGCTGGGACTTCTCCATCTTTGGACTGACTGCTCCCACACTACACTTCCMCCATGACTAGTCTGCCTTCCAAACCCCTTTGCAAGTAGACACCTCCCCATGGGGGTCTTCTGTCCAACTGAGGCTCTGGTGTTAGTCAGACCCCTTGCCCTACCTGGGCTCCCCTCACCGCATCCGGCACCTCCAGTCCATTGGCAGTTCTTACGGTTTCTATTTTCAAAATATGTGTGGTTCCTGCCCATCTTTTCCCAATGCCAGCCAGGCACTGCATTTCCACAGGGGCTMTTGGGAAAGCTTAGCTGGAGTCTCCTAGTTCCTCTCTTCAAGCCCTCCCCAAAGTCAGKTGACCTGAATGCAGAGGTGATGCCACTGCCCCTTCTCCATCTTCACCTCATGGAATGCTCCAGCTCAGAGGTTGATGATGTCAGCATGGAGTTYTGGAAGGCTAAGTAACCCACAATTATCAAAATCCTTAAATAATTAAATGTACATTTCAGGTCTGTCCAGCATTRCTTCTCAAAAGCATTTCCACAGAAGTCATGCAGTTTGGTACCAAGTACAGGGAAGAAAGCAGTGATGGGGAAAGGTGGAGTCCTAGCTCATCTTCAGGGTGCTTCTCTCAGCTTGGTTATAATAGTCCATGGCTTTTGCAGTAGCTCATTTTGGTTCCTAACAGCTGAATAGGGAAAGGTGCAGAGTTTTTGGGTTGCACTTTGTATTCTCAAAGCTTAATACACTTAAAACTGAAACTTGTTTTCAAGGCCATTCTACAGTTTTTGGGGGTTTTTTTGTTTGTTTTTTTGTTTTTCTGGTATTGGGAATTGAACCCAGAGCCTCAAACTTGCTAGGCAAGTGCTCTACCACTGAGTAATACCTGCAGTACTGTCCCCACCCTTTTATTTACTTTTTATCTTTTTTAGAGAGAATTTTTTAATATTTATTTTTCAGTTTTCGGCACACACAACGTCTTTATTTTATGTGGTGCTGAGGATYGAACCCAGCGCCCTGTACATGACAGGCGAGCGCGCTACCGCTTGAGCCACATCCCAGCCCCACCCTTTTATTTTTTTAAACTGAGACAAGGTCTCACTAAGTTGCCCAGGCTGGCCTCAAACTTGCTCTCCTTCTACCTCAGTCTCCAKAGTAGCTGGGATTACAGGCATATGCCTCTGTRCCTGGCCCCATTCTGYAATTTTTAGTGGCAGGGAGCTTTGATGTCTCTGGAAAGACTGATTTTAGTGTTGTGAACTGTCTTAAAGGGATCTGTAGAGGCATTGACATGGAGAAGCGGCTGTACCACATCCTGACCCCCGTGCCCCCAGAAGAATTGAGAACTGTGAACTGTCTCCTGGTGGGGGTCATTTCTATTCCACAGTGCATCTTCAAGAGCCAGGTAACTCCTCCCTGCCCCACCCTGGGGCAGCCCTGCAGGGAGCCTGATTGGGCCATGGCAGAGGGTGAGCAGCTGACTTGGGGGCAGCTCTCTAGGGAGTGGAGCCAATTAGAGTGTCATGTTATCCTCCGAGTCCCAGGGATGCCAGCCATGGTGTGTGTGGTCAGAAGCCCCAGGGTGGAGCCATTACCACAGGAAGGGGTCCTGGGAAGCGCAGTGGTGGCCTCTGCAGGACTGTCCCTCTTGTGAACAGTCTTCAGAGGCACCCAGCATCTATGCAGCCCACAGTTAATATAGGAGCAAAGGGCCAATAGAGCTGGGGTGTTCCTTTGCTCTCACCTGCTTAGGGATGCAAATACACAGCATACCTACCTCCTCTTCTGGGGTTTGGTGTGTTTGGGGAGCCAAATCAAACAGAAAGAAGGCACTTGCACATTTGTAGGTAGGCCTGTGGCTTCAAGAGGCCTTTTGAAGCCAGAGGCATAGTGGTGCATATCTGTAATCCCAGCCACTCAGGAGGCTGAGGCAGGAGGATCGCAAGTACYAAGGCCAGCCTGGACAACTTAGTAATACTGTGACTCAAAATAAAAATGATGCAGCTCAGTGGCAAAGTACCCCTGGGTTCAGTTCCCAGTACCACAAATCAGTGAGAGTAGTGAGGCCCCTGAGGGAGGGAGCAGTGCCTGCGGCACCAGGCTGAGACCCCTCTTCCCCTCACATTGGCTCCCAGGTGTGGAGAGCACACTCGAGGCCCAGGCTGAACAGGTTTCCATGTGTTCTCTKTGTGTTTCCATTTCAGCGAGGACCTGAAGGGACGATTCCCTACGTCACAACAGATTATAATTTTAAACTTCCTGGAGCATCAGGGAAAATTGGAGCAAGAGAATTTGATGAGACACAGGAAGGGCAAGTGAATCGAAGACCCAGATTCTATCAGAAAAAGTAAACAAATTTCAACAAGGGAAGAGAAGTTTGTACCAGGAGGCTTGGTGTGGAGCCTGATACCAGCAGACCTGGTGGGTTCTGTGGCTAATGATGATGCCCTTACGTACAGGTTTCCTGTGGAACTTGTGAGGGTTGTATATTGAAAAGCTGCAAGTTTCTCTCTTAACGCTACGTGGCCTAGAACATGTCCCTGATGTTTGTATGGTTGATCATACTTGCAGTCTGGTGTTTTCTAAAGGAATTTAAGGCAATGAGCCAGTCATGGTGCCACACCCCTGTAACCCCAACAACTCAGGAGGCTGAGGCAGGAGGTTTGCAAGCTCAAGGCCGGCCTCAGAAAGTTAGGGGACACCCTGTCTCAGAATAAAAAATAAGAAGGGGGGGCTGGAGTTGTGGCTCAGTGATAGAACGCTTGCCTAGCATGTGTGAGGCCCTGGCTCAATTCTCAGCACCACACATAAATAAAGGTCTATCAACACCTAAAAAGTATTAAAAAAAATAAATAAGGAGGGCTGGGGCCTGTAGCTCAGCAGTAGAGCACTCCTGTGTTCAGTGCCCAGTGCCACAAAAAACAAATCAAGCAAGCAGTGGGGAAAAGTTTGTACACTATTAAAATAGGAAGAATTGGGTCAGTTCCTCAAAAAATTCTTCTAGGATCTGGTTATTGGAATATCAGGATAAAAATAGAGAAACTGGGGGCAAGCCTGCGCGCCAAGAAGGTCAGAAACTAATGGGCAAGACCTCTAGCCTGAGGTTGGGAGTGCCTGTGGCCTCAGTGGGCAGGTGCAGGCAGGGAGCCTCCTCTCTGTCAACGCCGTCAGACTTCTCCCAGCCACGTGGATCATAAATTAGAAGACTGTGTGGTCTGTTGCTTTAATAGATAAAGATTTGGCATCAAGAGCCCTTTTAATCCGAGGCGTCACTCAAATTGTCCTCAAATTTGAAAAAGTTCCTGATGACTCTTTAAACCTAAACCTGCTTCCACTGACACCTCACCTTCTTGAAGGTCAAAGAGAYGGCTGCGGGGCAGAGCTCCAACCTTGGCCAACAGCTCTTGTGAAGAGAGCCAGTCACAACCTGGGACAGTTGCACCTAAACCTTGCCTAGGAGCAACTCCGCAGGGGCGGCTGTCATCACATTCCCTTCTCCCTGGAAGTGGGACCAGCTTGTTCCTGCACCTGTTGCCCTGGGGTGGGTGCTAAGAAGCATTTCAGACTGCTATGGGGACCAGTGAGGAGTTCCAGCTCCCAGTCCAAGAGGCGGGACACCAGCTCACTTACCACTGTTTGTCCTGTGGTCACGCSTTTGTGGCCCCTGGCAACCTGCAGGCCTGTAGCAGGGCTCACAGATGAGCACAGGACACCTCTGGGCAGGATACTCAGACCCATGAAGAGCTCCCTTCTTAGCTTTCACCTTAATCTGAAGGCAGCTGTATTGTGTCTTTCTGGGTTGTCCGTGCAAAGAATTCAAGACAGTTTGCCACTGTCAGCAAGTCTGGGAGAGGGAACTTTGCTTTTAGCCTTTAATTGTGGACCTTGAAATGTCAGTCCCATCCATAAAGAAACCAAGTCAGCACTAGGGGGCGCTGCCAGCCTGCGGTGGGGCTGGGAGGGGTGCCGTTGAGGGGACCCAGGCATGCCTCTCYAGGGATTTGGAGGTTCTGGAGGTGGCTCTTTAGTCAGCTTAGACCACAATAGAGACATYCTCCTGTGATGTCATTGTCAGTGGCCTTCAGGGTGCTCAGAAAGGRTCAGATTGGACTTGGTCCTCTGATTGGGCAGGCCTGAGGAGGTTCAGCAACAAGGGGCTCTCTGGGGGAGGCATCTTTGCCAGGCCCTTGGCCATTTTCTTAAGTGTGATTTCCACAGTATAACATGCTTATAGATGAATATGACTTGGGAAGTAAAAAACCTTTGGTTAAATGTCAGTTTTATGGTTTTAAAATCAGTTCTTTTACAAAAATCTATCCATGGGRAAAATAGACGTGAAAATAATTGAGAAGATTCTCAAAATCTAAGACTTACTTCATAAATAAAGATGGTCCAAGTTGTTTCCATTTGTTCTAAGGTCAGACKTCCTGTGAATCCGTTTATCAGTGTGTCCCCTGCAGCCATCTTAAATACTTTTTAAAAAGCCACTGGAGAAGGCAGTATGACTGGCCTTAGGAGTGCCTGGGGGTTGGCCATGTGTGTACCTGGCCAGAGGTGGCGTGCTGGAGCAGGCCAGGCCACGCAGGCTCAGGGATCCTGCCTCCTCTACTTGGACCCCTCTGATGGGCAGTTACTTAACCCAGGGGAYACTCAGTTTCTGCCTCCTAAATGGGGTGAAGACTGAGGGATGTGGGGTCCCTTTTGTTGTACCACATGCTGATTTGGGGGGCAGTGCTGRACCACACCCAGGCCTTGTGCTTGCCAGGCAAATGCTGTGCCACAGACCTACCATCCCAGCCTCTGGTGGTGAGGTTTAAAAAGTCATCTGATGGGGTTAGTTTATCCTTTTGTTTACATGGTGATATAGTGACTAAGGCAGCACGTTTTGATGGTAGGATACAGGCATGTGCCACTACACCAGGCCTCTGAGCAGTGTACCTTTTGAAGGAGTTGAGTGACCAAGTCTTCCTTTGAGGTTGGGGTAGTTTCCATYTGGGCTCCTGGGAGAGAAGTAGGTGAGGTCCTGGTATAGGGGCTAGCCCAGTCTCTGGCATGCAAGAGATGGTCCGAACTCCTGGTGTGTGGCCTGACTAGGTTATGAGCTAGGCGGCAGACTCTGAATTATGTCCCTCACAGTTGTGTTGAAGTATACGGACACTGCTTGCCCATCTTGCCTCCATTTACACCTGTGGAGGATGATGCAGAACCCCTTCTCATAGGTAGCACCCTGGATCCCAAGAGGCTGCTGTGTCACGTCTGTGTGCGCTTATGAAATTGTGCCCTGTTACAGATGGTTTCCACCCAACTCGTCTATTTATACATGAACTCTGTCATTAAAGATTTTTGAGAACATGAATGTAACTGTGTGATTTTATTATGTAAATAAGCCATTTTATTCCAGGTAGTTAAGTGCCTATAAGGTACTGTGGCAAAAAATGGAAGGAACTTAATGAGTTAGGRTGCCAAAGCAGGAGACTGTCCGCCACCCAGCAGGTTCCTGTGCTCACTTTCTGTCAGTGTTGCCTGGGGTTCATCTTAGTCTTACTGTGTGGGCCCCTTTGTAAGTTAAGGGAGCCACATCCCTTCTGGGCTGCCTTGGAAAGTGCTGGAGAGAACAAGCAGCAGCCCAGCATGGGCGGAGGGCGGGGGTATACCTGTAATCCCAGCAGCTCAGGAGCCTAAGGCAGGAGGATCATGAGTTCAAAGCCAGCCTCAGCAATTTAAGTGAGACCCTGTCTCAAAAAGACTTTAAAAAAGGGTTGGGGTGGGGTGGGGATGTGGCTCAGTGGTTAAGTGCCCCTAGGTTTAATTCCCAGCACGAAGAAAAAAAAAAGCAAGACGTGAACACGGGTCTGCTGGTGGAGGTGCAGCATGAGTTCTGCTCATAAGTCTCCCCTCCTAGGCTGGGTGGGCGAGAGAAGGAGACAGTGACAATCTCTGCMGCAGGAGAGGCCCACGTGACCTGCAGGGCCCCCCTCAAGAAGGCTTTTGCCAGGGAGGGACCTGCAGGACCCTCTCAGGAAGTCCTTTGCCAGGGAGGGGCAGGAGGCTGAAAGGAGGCTTGTGCCACAGGCCTAGTCCGCTCACACCAGGCGCTGGGTAAAGCRGTCTTGAGATCCACAAATAGAGCTGAGTTGGGCAACCCAAGGTTGCCATGGTTACCGGCCCTGATGCCACCACCTTGGTGGCTCAACTGAATGTGGCTTGGCTTTTTCTATTGCTTTGAAGCTCCCATAGTCTGATCTGTGACCAGGCTAAGACTGTCCCTGCTTCGCAGAAGCCACTCAACTTTCAGGCCTTTCTCACCAAGGAATCTAGCAGAGGGATTGCTGCAGACTTGGGTTCGCAGGACTAAGTCCTCCATGGCTCTGTTCCCAGGAAGAAGGGAAGGCTCTGTTCCGGGGGTGACTGGGCTTGGCAATGGAAAGTTCAAGGGGGAGAAACCAACATGGAAAGTGCAAGCCATGGTTCTGAAGCAGTACGTTAAACATACAATGCCCAAGAGACCAGTGTTGGAGGGAAGCAAATTGGCAGGGCTGAGGGCTCTGGGGTTTTCTGTGCAGACAGATTCAGCTAGAGAAATTAAGATTGGAGCTCCTGCTGGGAGAGTCCTTCACAGCCAGGACTGCAGCTGGGCAGAGGGACAGAGACTCAAGTGGCTGATCAGAGAGGCCTGTGGTGTAGGCAAGTGGTTGGAGGGCCAGGCAGAGTGCTACCATCCTGGAGGTCAAGCATGAACTCAGTCTTGACAAAACATGGGCCACCATCTCGAAACTGGCTCACCCTTCGTCCTGGGAGCAGTGAGTGCATTTTCTCCCTCTTTGGTTTGTCTGGAAAGAAAGATTGAAGATGTGGAGCAAGAAGCAGAAGCTGTGCAGGTCTTGAAGGGACCACCAAGACCCCATGCTTAATTAGCCTAGACCCTTACAAACTACTCTGTAGAACTGGGGGGTGCAGTGCGGTGGTAGAGGGGTTGCCTACCCTGTGCGAGGTCCTGGGTTCCATCCCAGCACTACAAACACAAACACACACACACAAAAAAAAAAAAAAAAAAAAAAAAAAGAAAAGAAAAGACGCTTTGCCGGCTGAAACAGCTTGTTCTCATTAACCAATGACTTCAGAGCATAGAGGTCAAAGGCCTCCCAGCCCAGAAATTTCAAATCTCAGCTATCAGCTCTGATTTGGAAAGCAGAATGAGAAGGTGCCTCAGAACCTCCAATCTGTCACATTTTGCAGACTGTCACATTTTGTGCATTAAAATTGGGCCCCCAAGTTCACTTTCAACATGTGCCATGACATATTTGGGGAGTGAGGGTCAGGAGTCATGTCCTTGGAATCCAATAGCATCCCTTCAATGCATGTTTGGGGCCCTGGCCTGGGAAGCAACCTGATCCCAGCCCAAGAGAGTTGGGCCTGGGGCACACAGGCCACTGACTTCTCCACTAGTATCCAAATCAGAGCCTCTGTTTCAACCTTTCCCTGCCCCCTGCCCTGTGGCATGGCCAAGACAGATTTATGAAGCAATCRCAGAGAATCCCTCCCAGTGCTACACGGGCCCCTCATCCCAAGCGGGGTCCAAGCTTCTGGCGCTCCCTTTGTCTCACCCACAGGCAGAACTCAGGCTGTCCAGACTGGGCCCTGCTGGGGGTCCAGAAGACCAACTGAGTTGTGTGATCCATGTTGGCAGCTAGTCACATCRACACCTGAGCCCTACGATGTCCAGTCGCTTCCAGGTCCATGGCTTGTCTTGCTAAAGGCAGAGCATGTCYGGG